AGGAGGGGGAGAGGAGAAGGAGGGAGGGGCGCTCCCTGCGCCCCGCGGCCACAGAGAGCCCGCCGCGTCGCGGGGTAGGTTCGGCCGGGTTCGAGCCCAGGTTCTCGGGCAGGGAGCGCGCGCCCCTGGGCCGGGCACCACCTGGGAGCGCCCCCGAGCCACCCCTGCCCCAGCCACCTCGCGGTTCGGGCGCCATCAGGCACCAGGGCCACCACCAGATTGGGTTCAGGCCTGCCGCATCCCCTGCTGTCCCCGCGGGCCGGGGACTGCTGCGCCCTGACCAGTTCCCGGGAGCCTCAGCCCCCCAACCTCTTAGGGTTAGAGGCGCGCGCCTGCTGCCTCCCAGAGGGCCGTTGGAGACCCGCCCCCAGGACCAGCACCAGGGGTTTGTGTGCTTGGACTTGAGAAGAGCTGGGCACCCTCCCCATGGGGCCAGCTGTCCTATGAGCGCTTGCTGCCCCTCACCTGCAGTCTCCAGTCACAGGACGGGTGGGGTGAGCAGCAACTGGGGACCCGGGGAAGACAAGGGACTATTGCCCAAACCCTAACTGGCACTCCTACACCCTCTAACGCTGCCCTCCCCTCCTTGCAGACTGTTCACTTCCTCCTGTCCCCTCCACACCCTCCAGCTCCCTCCACCCTGAGACCTGCCCCCAGTGATCAAGAACTCCAACCAGATGAAGCCCTTAGGAGCATTAGGAGCATGTCCTTCAGTCCTCCCAACATCTCAGCTGCTGGCCACCCCCAACCAACCAAGCCAAACCTTCCCTCCTTCAGCCCTGAACCACATTCACACCAAGGCCCACCCAATCTCCACTGCAGAGGACCCCTAAAATTACCAGGGTCTGACAAGAAAGCCAACTTTTTTTTTTTTAATCAAAAAAGGAAGCTAAAAGACAGGCATTGTCACTGAAGGACATTTTAATACCAGAAATGTGGGAAGGCCACTATCCCAGACTAAAAGGGAATCTTTAAATAAAGCACAGGAAGCATGGGGGTGAGGACTGTCCTTCCTGTCCCTGGTGTGGCTGACAAGTCCCCCAAGGCCACAAGCACACAGCCCCTCCAACCTCAAGAGGCCTCAGCGGCCAAGCACAACACCCTCTTGGACCAGTTGGCTCCTGCCTCTGGGGGCCCTCCTGCCCCCTCCCCTTCACTGTCTGCTGCAGTCCTGCTGGGGGACAGAAACTCAGCCAAATCAGGGCTGGCCTGATCCTAGGAGGGAACAAGGGAGCTTGTGGGGGACACAATGGAGCCGGCAGGACTTCATGCCCGGCTCCCACGGAGGCCCCACCCGAGGCTACCTCTGTACAGAGAGGTCAGGCTGTGAGGAAGTGGGACCCTTCATGGCTCCAGGCACTCCAGGAGACATGCTCCCTCACACCTCTCCATTTCAGCCTTGGGTTCTCCACCCCAGGCCGCGTTGCCCACCCTGCCCGGAGTCCCTCCCCAGAGCTCCTGCCCACAGTGGTCCTTAGGATGAACTGCTGTGAGGGACAGCCATGGGGCCCCAACCACAGCCCTCAAATCCCCAGGAGGGGGACTCGGGGGATTGGGGGAAGCTGGTTGGGCCATCCTGGACTGATGGTGGCCAAGGTCCCTGGCAGCTTGGAGGAGGCCCCCTCACAGCCCCTTCCCTGCAGCAGACCTCCGAAAACCATGTGAAGTGGCTGCCCAGTGCTTGGACACTCAAGCACAAGCTAGAGTGATGTCTGGGGTCACCGTTGTGAGCAGGGCCCAGGTCAACTTCCCAAGCCTCCCACACACCTTGCAGCCACAGCGCTCGGGGGGCCTGGGACTGGCCCTGGCCCTAGAGGGCACGCGCAAGCACCAGCCAGCCACAAGAAAGGTGCTGGCATCTTTGCAGACCCTCTTCAAGACCACACCCCGGGTGAGGAGGTCACCCCTCCACACCAGACAGCCAGGGCAGGCTGCCCAGAGTGGCATCTTGGGCCAACATGGGGCCCCCCACTCCCCAGCTCCAGCCTGTTTCGTCTGCAAACCTGGGTCCACTGCCCTTGTCGGGCTCTATTCTGTTCTGTTCCATTAAAAGCCATGCCCTCGGACCCTGCCCCACACGGGGCTCAGACAGGCTGTCCTAGGCCACTGTCAGGTGGACGAGTCGAAAGGAGCGTTTCTGAGAGCTGCGCCATACACCCCGTGGCCCTGCCAAGCTCAGCGCAGGGAGAGCCGCGGCCAGTGAGCACCCGCTGCAGCCACTCAGGAGCAGGGCTAGCACCTCCCCGGGCCTGTGTGCAGGGAGACGGCCGAGCCCTGTTCAGGCGTCGTGGGGCAGAGCCCAGTCAGGCACCCACAGAGCCTCACCGCTCAGATGAGGGGTCTGAGGTGAGGCTGGAGGTCGGGAGACTTACCTGCAGGCTCACAACGCTGGGTTCGCATCGCACGCCCACCCTCCCACTGGCTGGCGATGCCGTCACCCTGTGCTAAGCCACTGGGTTCCGCCGGGCCCAGCACGGCACGGTGCCACACTGGGGGGTGAGCACCTCTGAGGGCCCTTCCGCTCCGTGCCGAGGAGCCTGTTGCTCCAGGCTGCGGCAGCTGAGGAGGGCTGCAGCTGAGGGCCTCCGGCAAGTCTAGAGTCCCAAACCCCTCCGGCTGCATGTGGGGGTGGATGGACACATGGGAGGGAGGCAGCTCGAGTGCCTGTCAGACAAGCAGCAGCACTGGCAGAGCACACGGGAGGGGGCTGGCTGGGTGCTCCAAGAGTGGGACCCAGGACGATGCCCCAGACCCTCCTGGCAGCCTCCCAACAAAGTACAGGGCAGAGCTCCGCCCCGCAAACAGGCCTTTGCCCCACCCCAGCCAATGACCTTAACAGCCAAGTATCCTGGTCCCCCCGCACCCCGCCAGACGGGTAGCTGGCCATGTGAGAAGAGGTGTCCGCCTAACAGCTGCCTCCTTCCGTCTTGGGCTGGGCGGCCTGGTGGGGCTAAAGGACACATCAAATACAAGGCCTGGGGCCCCAGGGCTTGGGCAGGTGGGCACCACAGGGGGCGGGTGGCCCTGTGCCCAGAGCAGGGAGGGCTCCAAGCCAGCCCCGCCTCCCAGCCTTGGGGCCCTGCAGCAGGCAGGTGGGACCCAGGGGGAGGTAAGGCTCTGGCCAGCACGTGATCCACCAACAGTCAGGGGCCAGGCTGTGGTTCCAAATGCCACCTTTACTGCTGAAACAACATGCGTGCTGATGGGGGGGCCAAGGCCAGACAGCGGCTGCAGGGAGCTCAGGTCGGGAGCTCGTGCCTGGCTGGGGCCACCGCTCACCGAGGAGAAGGAAGCTTGGCCAGACCCAGGCCCCTGGGCCTCACCCCTGGGCCCTGTCCTAGGGAGGGCACAGGACAGCCTGCAGGTCCTTGGGCAAAGAGCCGACGACCGTCTCGATGTACAGCTGTGCCCGCTCTAGTGTTGTCTCCTTCACCGGGAGCTGGTGGCCCTGCGCCTGCACCTGCAGGGGCAGCGGTGGTCAGGGGCAGGTGGCCTCCACGTCTGGCTGGTGGAGGCTGGACAGGGCCAGGAGGCATCTCACCAGCTTCTCCCGAAGTTTCAGGACCAGGTCCACGACCTCCACCTCAGACTTGTCCTTCATCCAAGTCTCGATGTTCTGCTGGGGACAAGATGGAGCCGTCCACCACCAAGGCCCGCACTCTGCCCCTGTGCCCCGCCCCCCAGCCCCTGCTCTGGGCATGCATGCCCCCACCTCCTCCCCCAGCCCCAGCTCCCCCTTACCGCCTCACAGATAGCCTCAAGGTGCAAGGCCTCCAGCTTCTGGGCCATCTCTTTGTGCCGCTGTCGGTACCAGCCGTCAAAGTGGGGGGACTTGAAAAACCGCCTGTGGGTAGCAAGATGCAGCAGCTGTGGGCTGACCCCGTGACCCCATGTGCAAGGGCAGTCTGCACCAACCACCGCAGGAGCTTCAGGACCCTACCTGCCATCCACCCACCTGTAGAGGCCCAGCCAGTCGCCCTTGAGGATGCAGGTGAGCTGGGGCCCGGCGTGCTCCAGGCTACGCAGGAAGTCGTCCTGGCGGAAAGGGCGGATCTGGGGAGGAGTCTGAGACAGGGGCCTGGTGAGCCCAGGTTGGTGGGGGACACAGCCTCACAAGCCCTGCCCCTCAGCTGGCCAGGACCCTTCCTTGCCACACTCCTCAGCCACGTGAGGACCCACAGCCCCCACCCTTCCCGGGACAGAGCCCCTCATGTGTGGCCCCCCTTTTTCTGTCCTATGAGGGATGTCTGGCATGTGTGGGGACAGCCTAGAGCCCTGGACTCCTGCACACCCCGTGACCTCCTCCCTCCCTCCCTCCCAGGCCTTCCCCAGACTGCCACCTGGATCCGCACCTTCCAGGGTGTGATGCTCTTCTGCAGGGGCATGAGGCTGGCCATGTAGTGCTCCTGGTGGGGGAGGGGAGTGAGCCTGGGGCCATGGCCCTCTGCCCCCATCCCCCTCCTGCCCTGGGCCTCACCAGGGGGATGATGAAGCTCTGCGTGAGCTCCAGGAGGTGCCGTCTCAGCAGAGCTGTCTGTGTGTCCCAGGGCCTCTTCTTCTGCAGCCCCTAAGGGAAGGGCAGGCACGGGCTCAACTCCAATGCAGCTCTTTACACAGAGCAAGCACACACCCCCCACGCCCGCCTCCGGCCTCCCCCAGCCTGTACCTTGAGCAGCCGCTTGAGCAGTGCCTTGTCCCGGTGGAGGTGGGCCGAGTACGTGGTGTAGAGGCCTGGCAGGAGGGCAGAGCTGGCCCTGTCCCGAAGGGCCTCCCCCCTATAGCCCCACCCCCTTTGGCTGGGACTGCACATCTATGCCCACCTCCAACCGGGTGAAGCAGAGAAGGTTCCCTGAGAACTCAGAGCCCACTCCCTGGGTTCTGGAGAAGGAGGGGTTCCGGCCCAAGGGGCACACACCTGGCTTGGTGTCAAGCGTCTTCAGTCTAGAGGGCTTTTTCAGCTTGACCTGCTTAGGAAGATCCCCTGCAGAACACACCCAGTGCTGGGCCTCAGTGCCGCAGCCCCACCCGCCACAGGCTCAGAGCCCTCCAGGCCCCACCTCCCCAGGTCCCCTGGGCAGAGGACAGGCCAGCCTCACCTGACATCTTGGGCTCTCCAACACGGAGGATGTGGGGCCAATGCTGGAGTGTTTTGATAAAGAAAGGGTTTGTGACTCCCAGAACCACGTTTGGTCTAGAGAGAGGAGAGAAGAGAGAGAGAGAGAGAGAGAGAGAGAAGGGGCAGAGGCAGGCCCAGGGTGGTGGAGCCCAGGTGGAGGACGGGGCACGGACAGGGCACTTACGGGGCCTGCGTGCGCGTGGTGAACTCCTTGAACTCGCTGTCATGGATGGTGAAGTAGGGGCGGTAGTCACAGCAGAACTTGAGGGGCTGCAGACAGCTGCGGGGTGGGGGCGCAGCCCGAGCTATAAGCAGAGCCAGGGCCGCTCGGGTGCCCCCGACCCCCTCCCTCTGCCGCCCGGCCTACCTGATTAAGGCCAGCACCATCTCTGAGGACATGGCGGGCGAGGGTGCCAGGACCACCAGGGGCTCCCCGAGGAGCATAAGCTCCCACAGAGTCTGCACGTGGGTCAGCACAGGCTGGAAGCACCTAGTGCCAGCCTCCGGTCAGCAGGGGTGGGGGCTCCCAGCCCTGGCCCTCCCTCCCCCCGGCAGGTCCAGCTCTAGGTGAACACTGCCCTGGAGGAAAGGAGCGAGGACATCTGAAGATGCTGAGGGGGTGCCTAGGGCCGCCCCACACTCCGATGACGCACCTGGCCCCGCACCCCCACATGTAAGCCGGCAGCACTGGGCAGCTCGGTCTCCGAAGCCTGGCTCCCTCACAGACTTGCCTGGGGAGGAGCAGCGAGTATCTCCCAGGGCAGCAGCTCCCTTCCCTGCACCTGACTTCTGACACCTTCCTGCCCTCTGGGCAGAGGCAGCAGGGCCCTGGGCTTCTCTCCTGCACAACTCTCCCTCACGGAACCGGCCAAGGGTTCACTTCTGATAGCAGTTCCTCTGGAAGCCCCCACCCTGCACAGGCTTTACCTCACAGGTCCCCTGACCACCTACTCAGGCCTCACCTGAACAGGTCCAGTTCGTGGACGCTGGTGAGGACCACGGGGGCGGGCAGCAGGTTCTGAGAGGAGGGGTGGGTGGGGTCAGGCCGAGGGCAAGGCTGGCACCCCGCAAGCCCCAAGCAGCACCTCTCACCCCAGGAGACCCCTAGGGGCTACAGCCCCTGCCCTGCACAGCTCCCCACCCCCATCCCCACAGCACTGGAGATGGCGGGGGGCGCCCAGCCCCACAGCAAGATGCAGGCAGGCCCCTAGCAAGGGCAGGGAGGCCTGGGGAGGTGGGAGGTGCGGCACCACCGACCCAGGAGCAGGGCCCCCACCTCATGGCTACACTGCTTCGGAGGACTGTGTTCAGGCCTGTCCACCCTGGACGGGACGTGAACCTGGGGGACGAAAGGGAGTAGCTGCCAGATGGGCATGGGTGTCTCTGTGAACCTGGGGCCTCTCCTCCCCAGACGGCCAGCCCTCACCTGGAGGACGACTCCCATAACAGGCAGGTTCAGGGTCTGCCCGGGCACAGGGGCTGGCCACTGGTCAATCTCATTGCACACTGTGGACATAGGGGACCAGCGTCAGGAGCCCATCGAAGCCACTGGGGGCCACGGCCAGGACAGTGAAAGCACCTGACAGCCACTCACCCGCTTCCAGGCAGGGGGCCAACTTGTCGAAGTACTCAGGGGCAATCAGGCTCAGGAGCGCCTGGAACAGCCGGACAAAGGGCAGGCGGGACACCAGCACCAGGGACTGCAGGGCCCACAGGGCCGGTGAGATGGAATCCCGGCCATTCAGGAGTCTGCAGGGACCCCTGAGGCCTGGCTCATCCAGAGTCTGCCCAGGGAAGCGCATCCCACAAATCCCACAGGAATGGGCCAACTTGGACTCCGGAGTTATTAGAAAAAAACCCAAAGCCTGCCTCAGACAAGGCAGGGAAACCTCAGATGACAGCTGGGCCCTGGGCCTTCAGAGGGAAATGCACATGACCAAGATTTCTGGGATGATCTCCCCAGGAGCCAAGCAGCTTTTGCTTATGGCGTCTGAGTTCAAGATGGAAGTTGTCCTAATCTTAAACGTGTGGCAAGGGCCCCTCCCCAGTCAGCAGCAAGGAGCAGGGATATCCTGAGCTCAGAGACGGAGGGCCAGGGTGCTGTGCTGGGCAAGGCAGGGCAGCAGGGCCCACTCCCCAAAGGGCCAGCAGGAGAGCTGGGTGCACCCATCCCCCAACCCCTCACCTGCTGCCCAGGCAGGGCGGCCTACCTGGCCCAGGGCAGTGAGTTCTGCCCAGTGCCGAGTGGCCAGGGGCTTCAGGAGGAGTGGGCGTTTCTGGAGGCTCAGGACCCCTAGCCTGATGGCCACCAGCCCTGCCTCACAGCGGCACCACCCCAGAGCAGTCAGGTGGCTCACCTTCTGGAAGTAGCCCCTCTTCATGGAGCTGTCCTTCACCTGCCTGAAGTACACGTAGCCAAAGTAGTGTGCTGGCTCCCTCTGGAAGGAACAGTGTCAGCCAGGCCGAGTCCACTGCCCAGGTTCCCTCCCGTCCACCCAGACCCCCTGCCAAGGCTGCTACAGCTCTCTCCAGCCATGGGGTCAGGCCTGGGGGTCCTTGGCTCAGAAGGTGGCCAACACCTCGACACAGAACATCTCTGCAGGGACAGTGGTCAGTAGCTCAGGGGCCTGGGAGAGCTAGCCCACCCGCAAGGCAGGCTGGGGTGCCGGTCCCACGGGGTGGCGGGGCTTGCTGCCCAACCCTGGCCTCTGGGGAGAGGCCGCCCACACTCACTTGCAACGACATGGGCGCCCCACTGTTGTAGTGCTGGTCCTCGGCATGCCATGGACTCTTCTGTCCGCCACACTGCCGAATGCGGAAGCTGAACTGAGTGTCTCCGAGGCAGCCTGGAAGGGGAGGCAGCCCCCACCAGCCCATGTCAGGGCTGGGACCTCTCCTGCCAGCATGCCGGGGAGGGGACCAGAGACCGGGCCGTAAACGCCCCAGGGAGAAAGCCCAGCCTTTGAGGAAGGCTGTGCCCTAATTCCTGTACCTGAGCGTTTCAAAATAAACACAGCACACGTCGGTACAGTCAGCTAGCACAGGGGGGACACTGGGAGACCCCAGTGGGGCCCAGTCAGCTGGTCTGTGACAGAAAAACAGGGCTGCCTGGACACCTAAGCCCCAGAGAAGAGCAAAGGCCAGGACCCAGTTCCTGGTGGCCCCTGTGGTGGGATGAAAGGGACCAGACCCCACTGATCACTCTGCCCAGAGACACTCTTTCCTTGAAAATCGGGGGCACCTGACCACAGCTGCTGCAGTGTGGAGTTCTGGGTGTCTCCATGGAGCGGGGAGTGGGGCTGGCATGGACAGGCAGTGATGCTGGTGGTGGTCATGCCCAGGCCCAGGCCACAGGGGCTCCTGGACAGCCATATCTCCCACCTTCTTCCTGTTACCCACTTCCCACCCCCAGCCCCAGAGCCAACGTCCCAGTTGGGGTTGCCTACCTGAGTGGGAGTCAGGGAAGGACAGGTAGCAGATGCTGCTTTTCTGAAACACAGGAAACTGGGTGAGGGCCGGCTCAATTCAGGGCCACGTCTGCTCCCAGGAGGGCCAGGACCCACCTCCTTGTCCGTGAGCCGGAAGTCACTGGGGTACACCAGCTGCAGGGACACAGAGCACTTGGTACCATCAGCTGGGCAGCGGGTGCAATGCTGGTCTTGCCCCTGCCTCCTCCTCTGGGCCCTTTCAGCATGAGACCACTCTATCCTTCCCTTGTCTTGGCTACCGCACCTGGGCCAGTTCCCCAACTCCTCCTCATACCCCTCAGGCGGACTGTGGTCGGGCCTCCCCGCCTCTCCTGTCCCCAACATTTGTCCCCCAGCTTCAGAAGGTGGTTTTGAGAGCCCTCCCGTGGCCTCCTATCTCGAGTGTGATCACAGGGCTCTGCCTGTTGGCCTCTGCCTCCCCTTCCCTCCACCTCCGGGACACCTCTACTCAGCCAGAGGGTCTTGGGCTGCACCATTCCCCCAGGCTTGCTCCCCGAGATGGCGCCTGGCTGGCTTTCTCATGTCCTGGTCTTGCCTCAGATGTCACTAAGACCGTGGCACCCCTGCCTGTTGATAGCACCTTGAGTGCTGTCACCCCAACCTCCACTAGTCAGGGACCCGGGCTCTTCTGGCCTGTACCCCCCCTGGAGCAGGAACCCTAGGAGAGCACCCTGGGCCCCAGCAGGGTCAGCAGCAGGCCCTCAGGGATCTAGCAGCAGGCCACACCCTAGAGGAGCAGTGGGCTGAGGCCTGGCTCTCAGGTTCAGCAGCTCCATGCACAGGCCCAAGGCCAGAACGGATTTCGTTAGAGGATACGAAAAAGGCAGGGGGCCCCAAAGCCCTCACTCCCAGTGGGCCTCTGAGGTATCTTCTGGGGAGCTGGGTGCCTTGGGCTCTGCTGCTGCCCTGGCCTGTGCTCTCCGGAAGGGGCAATGCTGGGAGTCCACAGGGGGTCAGGAGCCACGGGCTTGCATGCATGCAGCCCCTACTTGCCCTGTCCTCCAAAATTCAACACTAGGAGGAGCTGGGTTTCAGCTGAAACGAGGCTTCTCCTGGGGTGTTGCCTGAACCCCCAGATAGAGGGCAGTGCCATGCTGGAATGATGTGGCTTCTTGTCCTTTTTGCTCGGGCTTGCCACTGTGCCCCTATTCTGTCCCCTCTGCCACATACCAGTGTCCTGAGGACAGGGACTCCTGGCCGTGGCAGCGAGTACACCCTCACCAAATACAGTATCTGCGATGTGCCTGAAAACACATCTTGGAGGTAGAACAGAACAGGAAGGTCGTGTAGAAACATCAAGGAGATGTCAGCTCAGGAGGCAACAAGAAGGAAGGGTCAAGAGAAGGGACAGGAGCTGAAAAGAATTTGTATATGGGACCAGACCCACAGAGGCACCTTGGGACAGCCCCAAGAGGGGCAGGGGCCACAGGACCACTCAGCCAAGCCCTCAGGTGTCTGTCAAAGAGCGCCAAGGAAAGGCGGGTGCCTGGCAGCTGGGGCAACGGGCCTCACACTGAGGTCAGGGGTCCGAATCTGGTCTGACAGCCACAGGAGTCTTGCAGCATCAAAGCAGGCCATGTTGGCCTCTGCATCCATGGCCAGGGAACCCATGTTTATGGCCTGGTGCAGCTTCTCCTGGGAGCAGAGACCAAAGGGAAGGCCAAGTTGAGCCATGCCTCAAGGAGGAAAGGAATGGAGCCGACCGTCAGAGAGGCAGAAAGCAAGGAGTTGTGCTGCCCGAGGACCCCATCCTCCCAGGCCCACGAGGGCCTTGTTTCTGCTGAGCCAGCCAGCACCAGTGCAGCTCCTGGAGCTCAGCCATCCCTGAGGAAGACAGATGCGGCCACGTGTCCTTCAAGAAGGCACCTCTCTAGGACAGTGCTTCAGTGTCCTAGAGAGCCCTAGGACTCCGCGAGGTCAAAGCTGCCTCCTTCACGCTCATCCTGTTACTTGTGTGCAAGGCTGTTCCCAGAGGCTGCACCACACACTATCACAGGATACACAGCAGAAGCTGATGTGGGGATCCAGCTCTCTTCTATCTGACCAGATGCTTAAAAGGTTTATAAAAGGGGGCGCCTGGGTGGCTCAGACGGTTGGGCGTCTGCCTTCGGCTCAGGTCATGATCCCAGAGTCCTGGGATCGAGTCCCGCATCGGGCTCCCTGCTCCTTGGGAGCCTGCTTCTCCCTCTGCTTCTCTCTCTGTCTCTCTGTCTCTCATGAATAAATAAATAAAATCTTTAAAAAAAAAAAAAGGTTTATAAAAGTAGGGGGCGTCTGGGTGGCTTAGGGGGTTAAGCATCCGACTCTTGGTTTCAGCTCAGGTCATGACCTCAGGGTCCTGAGTTCAAGGCCCGCAACATCAGGCTCCATGCTCAGCAAGGATTCTAAGATCCTCTGCCTCTCCCTCTGCCCTTCCGCCCAGTCACTCACGTGCACTCTCTCACTAAATAAAAATAAAATCTTCAGGAAAAAAAAAAAAAAAAAGGTTTGTGAAAGTGTCACATGATACTAAATTCTGTTTTGGAAAATATGGTTGTTTTCAAGAAAATATTTATATTAACACATACAGCATTTATTTTTTTTTTTACAATACCTTAGTAAGTATTTTAAGTTTTCTCAGTTTTTTTTTTAAAGATTTTATTTATTTGACAGAGAGCGAGAGACAGCTAGAGAGCGAGCACAAGCAGGGGGAGTGGGAGAGGGAGAAGCAGGCTCCCCGCTGAGTAGGACCCTGGGATCATGACCTGAGCCGAAGGCAGATGCTTAACGACTGAGCCACCCAGGCGCCCCTAATTTTCTCAGTTTTAACTTCTAACACAGTAAACATTGATAGGTATGACCCATACAAAAAGCTTTTTGGAGTCAATAATTTTTACGACTGTAAAGGGTCCTGGGACTGTGCAGTGTAGGAGCTATGTCCTGGGAGGACATGAACACCCCAGTGCAGAGAGCCTCTTTGGGCCCTCCAGCCAGAGTTCACTCCACAGGCTTCCCAGATGTGCTGGGACGCGGAGAGCTGGGATGACGGAGCCAGACCCTCTCCTCAGCCGATCCACACGTTCTTGTCCCCCTCATCCCCCAAGGCCTTGCCTGCCCTCCTCTGCCTCACCTGTAGGCTTCAGTGTACCTATTGGCTTGGATCCCCCCTCCCCCCCATAGCCTGTGTGCGCTGGGGGTCCTGAACCACTGTGTCTCTAGCACAGAATGTGAACTCCTGGAGGGCAGGGCCTTGTCTTCTCGCCTAACTCTGCATTCCCCGTGTCCAGCACTGTTGCTGTAGGGCCTGGCTGCTCAGCACTTGGTTTATTGGATGAACGAGTGGACAGCTCCTTGCCTTTATTTTTGCTGGCTTTTCTGAGGGAGGGGTTACCTGAAGCAGGCTCTTCTCCCCTGCCCGGCTGCCCCCGTACCACCCTCCAAGACTGGACATGCCCTACCTCTTCCTCTGAGCTGCATTTGTCCACAGAGCATCTGTGGGCCACGAGCTCCTGGAAGGCAGCCCAGCACCTCGTACAATGCTGGGGTGTTTGTGGTGCTCAGGCAGTCCAAGCTGTGAATAAGTGAGCATGGGGCAGGTGCTCCTCAAAACCCGGAAGGTTCAACTGAAATAACCCCCGATCAAGAGGCAGACCTGATGAGGACTGTCTGATAGATTCATGGCCCAATTCCCACATAGACTTGGTGATTTAGAGGGGCCCTGGGTCCCCAACACCCCCTGCCAGAGCCATGTCACCTCACCAAAGGCTCCGATGCCCAAGCACACGGAGCCTTTAATGGTACTCGCCTAGGGCGCCTGGGTGGCTCAGTCATTAAGCGTCTGCCTTCGGCTCAGGTCATGATCCCAGGGTCCTGGGATCGAGCCCCACATCGGGCTCCTGGCTCAGCGGGGAGTCTGCTTCTCCCTCTTCCTCTGCTTCTCCCACTGCTCATGCTCTCTCTCTATATACATCTCTGTGTCTCAAGTGAATAAATAAAATCTTAAAAAAAAAAATAGTACTCGCCTAGAATTAGCTTTCTAAATAGTTAAATTCTAGAAAGATGTACAGGAGAATGCCTTAAGGAAGCAGGAGAATCTCTTAACTTCTCATGTGATTTTTTGAGGAGCAATTTGGGCAACGGCAAGAATGTGGGCTCTGTAACACGGGGCAGATCATCTCAGCTCTCTGCTCAGGCCTCTCGGACCAGTGGGGCTACCCCAGTAATGCACAGCTGGTGGGGATGGCTGTGCTGGAATGGGGTGTCCATAAAGAGCTGGGCACAGTGCTGGGATGCAGAAGTCCTCCATAAGGGTCGGCCCCTTCTGTTTAGAAGACTCGGGTTTCCCACAGCCTCTCGGGGTTCAGCAAAGCCTGAGAACACACCCCTTCCCTCCACCACTGCCCTGGCTTCCCGGAAATGGCGGTTCAGCCTCGTCGCAGCCGTCTGCGGTCACGGGTGTCCTAGCTCTCGGGCTCTCAGAAAGCTCCTTCCGACAGTGTGGCGAAGCCTAGCTCTCCACAGCTCCCGGTGTTGCTCCCCGGCCTTCGGAGCGGAGGCAAGCCCATTCCGACAGGCCTGAGGGAGGCCTCCCTCCCCCCCTGGCCGCAAGGAGGAAGGGAAGCGGCCCAGGATGGGAACTCCCCAGGCCCGGCGAGGGGGGCGCAGCTGGCCAACAGAAGGAAGGCGGGCGTGGCTGGAAAGGGACAAGGAGGCTGGGTCTGATTCTAAATGAACGAGCAGGTGCGGGAGGATTTTAAGCGGGAGAGCCACAAAGCTTGGACTTTGAAGGACAGTCAGGAGGGGTGACAGCAACAGAGCTAACGCGTCTCGAATGCTGCTTGACCCCCGGGGTTCTGGCTGGAGCACCCGAGCGGAGGAGGTCCCGCAGCTCGTGGGGGGAGGGGAAAGACGAGGCGGATTTTCCCAGGAAAAATCAAGAGCACCCCCTTGGTTATGCCAAGTGCAGGGCCCCCGTCTCCTGCATCCCGGGGGAAAGTCCGGCGCAGGGCTTCGGAGGAGGAAGAGGCCGCCCGGGGGGTCGGCTCGAGGGCTCCTCCCGCGCAGACGGCTCCCGGGCTGCCGGCGGCCTACAGAACAGGGCCCGCCCCCGCCGCCTCCCGGCCGCCCCGCTCACCTCCAGCGCCTGGCCCAGCTCCAGGTCGAAGGTGACCACGCACACGCACTCCAGCCAGGCCG